AATGTGTAACACTTGCAAAAGATCTATAGACATTACATACAGTTGCGAATGAGACAATTATACAGTAAAATTAAATGTTGATAAAATAATCTCAGGCGACTTCTTCATCAGAGCATACTTTCGAAAATGTGAAAGCAGTGTCCAAACTTGTTGCTTTGATTCAAAAGTCTGCCTGTCGCGAAGTATCTTCTTGCACATAAAATTTCATTTTTCCACGAAAAAAAAAATCCGATCTATTATATTTCAAATTCTACTACATATAATAAGAAACTGAATTAATTAAATCATTTAATACCACCATAAAAAGGAAGATAAACTTGAAAATTATTAATTATTATACGAAAATATGTATCACTAAGTAATAACTGCATCTTTCACAGCAATGAAGTCGGAGGCTGTCCGTCTTCTTTACTGTGCAATGCTCAAACAAAATCGTTGCAATAATAATTATTCATAAATATTTACAGTTTATTTATTCATATAATACATATTCATATAGATATTTTACTTTCATGAACATTTATATTGGGGATATTTTGATTTTATAAGTAATTACGATAAATGCATATATTCTAATTGTTAAAAATCGCGATGTGCAAGAAGCCCTATCCTAATCTAATACATTAAAAACGTGAAAAAATGTTACTACTCACGGGTATAAAAAATACCCGCGGTCACTATGCTCGTTAAAAATTCTACGTATACAACCAATCACCCGTGCCGATTTGGACCTTTTGTCCTACGACATGATTGAGTGACCGGAGGAACATAAATGCATGCGACTCACGCGATAGATGTGAAGAACGTTATCATCAATGTTGCACTGGACCAGGAAAAGTTAGCATGAAGATCCTCATCAAGTAGACACCACTGAGAATCCCATGGTGGAAGTGAAAGCCGTGAGAAACTTCTTAAAAAACATGAAACATTTTATCTCTAAAGACACAACATTATTTGTGAAAATTTAAATTTTAATAATGATAAAAATTGCGACTAATAATTTGAAGTATTTTTATTTTATAATTTTACATTCGAGTTTAATAAAAATAAAACTATAGAGAATAGAATAAATTCAAGTACAATATGTTAAAGTACTTACATTCTTAACTTTTAAAGCATCATAAGATTTTTGCAGAATTATAAGAAGTGGAGGCTATGGAAGATCTATAACAAAACATTAAACATTAGAATTTGTATTTAAAAGCAAAGCAAAATCTTAAGTTGAAGACAATGAAAGATTCTTACATTCTTGGCTTTAGAGCCACCGTTGGATTTTCTCCAAAGAATTATTAAAGAATTAGAAAAGAATTAATGCTGATGTGAAGCATCTGTAACAAAACATCAAACATTATATGTGCTTTTGCCATTAATGTTAAATTTGGAAAAGTAAATAAATTGGGATGCAATATATAAAATTACTTACCACCTTGATCTCCTGGAGAGTCTTATCCTCTTGAACACTGACTCTAATATTCCGAAAACGAATGTTGAATAAGAAAAAAAAAAATAAAAGACTATCACCGCGCACGTTTAAGTAGTATTCGGCGGACTCACTGACTCTGACTTCGCGAGTCATAATTTAAATAAATTAACGATTAAATTTTTAACAAGAGCCATTTTTAACAAAAACTCAGAAAAGTATAAAAATATTTC